GACCTTGCTCAGCTTCTGCGACACGAATTTGGCGCACAAATCCTCCATACCTGCACGCGCCCGCCACCCCACACCGCCCCGCCTCTTCCGCCGCTGAGCGCGCCCTCCCATTGGCCGGGAGCCTTCTCGGCAGACCGAGAGCGAGTAGGGACAAAATGATGCCGCTGGAAAAGGCGAGAGGCTGCGGCAGGGGGCGGGGTCTTTGGTTGTTGCGTAGCCCGAGAGAAAAGCAAGGAGGGAGAGGGGAGGCGAGGCGTGGCGTGGCGTGCGGAGGCTAGCCCGCACTGCCGGCAGCTGGAACATTGGTGATAGGCGCGGAGAGGTGACAGTGAAATGCGGCAGAAAGAGGACGTGGGCGGATCGAGGCTCGGGGAAAGGGGGTGCAGGTGACGCCATGTGTGTTTTGCTCCCGTTACCCGTAAACGAGAAGCTGTCGCGGGCCGGGAGCTGTTACTCCGTTGAAGACTGAAGCCAAAGCAGATGTCACTTCACTGGTATGAGCTCCAAACAGCCTGCAAGGCTGTGAAATAGGAGCTTCGTCCCCAGGAGCCGCTACCGGACAGCGCCTTGCCCAGCACGGGGCCGCTGAACGTGGGGGCTGCTGAGCAGAGGGGCCTTAACACCCTGGAGGGAGGGAAGGGTTTACAGGGGGTCAGGTGCATTGCAATGAGTCGTGAAGTCAACAGACCCCCCAGCACTGCCTGACTAAACAAGCCGCTGCCACTGCCGTGCACTTGGTTTTAATCTCTGGGTGGAGTGGGAATCAGAAGTGTGCCAGGGCACCCCCCCACCCCTGGATCCACCTCTGAAAGCACATATATATATATATATATATATATATATATACATACCTTGGAGAGCAGGCAGGGCCCATTCTGAGATGATGGATAGTTATATACTCCTTTATTCCTTATATTTTACAGAGCAACTTAAAGGCTTCTTTCCCACTTTTTCCTTCCTTCTCTGGTACTCATTTCTGTCTTGGAACAAGCGTTTGAAGTCCACACTAATTTCCTGATGAGTTCCTTATTTTAGATTAAGTGCAACTGACTGACCTCAGCTAAGATGGAGACCACAGACTCCAGTGTGGGCTCATTGGTGGTTATGATGTAAAAAACAATAAAAAAGCCAACTTGGAAAATTCTCCTAGAGTCATGGGCTGGAAGAGACCTCAAGAGATATCCAGTCCAATCATTTGTCCTTATGCAGGATTTGCTATTCCCAGACCATCCAGCTTAGAGGCTTATGCAGCAATTTTGGCATCTTAGGCAGAAATGGTGCCCAGCACCTCGGGGAGGGGCGGGGGAGGATGCTGGGCTCCAGAGTGTGGGGCAATGTCAAGCACCCAACAGCTGCAGAGTGCTGTGTGATGCTCCTGGCACCCTACATTGGCATGTGGGGCTGTTGTCCTACCCCACCCTAGTTATGCCACTGATCCAGCCTCCTGAAAACCTCCACTGCATGAGATACCATAGCTTCTCTGAGCAGCTTTTTCCACCGGCCTACTGTTCTTACACTTAGTGTTTTTTTCCTTGGTTTTAGTTTAGAACTCCTTTGCTGCAATTGAAGTCCACTGCTGTGTGTCCTATACTTTGCAGCATGGAAGAACAGTTGCTCCCTCTTTTTTATGGCAGCCTTTTAGAATACTTGTAAACTATTATCAGATTCCCCCCTGCTCCCCCTCTTGATCTTCTTTCCAAACTAAACATACCTAGTTCTTTCAACCTTTTTTCAGCTTGCATGCCAACTGCTTTATCAACTTTGTCACTTGCTTCTGGATACTCTCATGTTTCTCCACATCCTTAAAACTGTGGAGCCATGCATACGATACAGTACTTGAGACCTAACCAGCACTGCATAGAGTGGTAAGATCTCTTTTGCATGTCTTTTATACTCCTGGTAATAATATATACATGTACTAGATTCCTGGTGTCGTGGAAACACACGCAGCATACTTTTGGGTCAGGTCAGCAGAAGCTTTTATTTAAAAGAAACTACAGCTGTAGGGGGGATTCCAAAGTGACATGGATTTTCCAAGCACTTGGAAGGGGTCCCCCCCAAGAGCAAAATCAGGAGGCTTATATACTTTTTAACAGTTGCTTATAACTCACGTGATCATATAGTGAAATTAGCATGAAAAGCGGCTATAATATTACTTCATTATTTCTTTGCTGTAATCAAGATGGGAACTAACGGGGGAGGCGAGGTTAGTTCACAAACCTCCTTCTTGCACCTGGAAATCAGATTTGTACATACTTTTTTGCTATCTTCAAGGCCGCAGTGAGCGAAGCAGTTGCAGAGGAGTTACAAAGAACAAACACTTTCTCTTATCTGTTCTACTATACAGAGCCAGCAATTCTCCACAAAGCAGTTATGTCATCTTATAACTAAAATAATCAAAGTTTAAGGCATATATTTTTTCTGATTCCACAGTCTCCCCTTTGAGACTATTTAGTCTCACTTTAGCCTTAAACTTCCATTTTCATGAGCCCCTCTATTTCATCATGCAGCCTTTCATGTTTTCTTTTAATCTGCTCACACTTTTGTAACACCATTATTCTAGACTCTGCTGTGGGTTTTCTTGCCTTGTTAAAGCTTCTCCTGCTGGCTTTTACGCAGCAGAGGATCAGTTGTACTAAGACATAAAACATTAT